ATAGCACTAAAATGTGTATCAAACTGGAAGTATGAAGTGTTTTGATTTGAGCCTGAGTCTCAATTGTTTGTTGACATTGGAAGAATGTGAATATGATATCTATATAGTTCACTGCTGTAAGTTACTAAACTACTACTGATGCACAACCCATCGTACTAGGTATTAGTGGTGAGCAGCGGATATTTCGATTCGTCCAAACCAACTAAACCGAACCGATCCGCCGCATTTTGGATGGGTGATGATGAGTGGACTGTTGCAGATTGATTTTTTTCAATTCACCTAATTTTGGACGGATGATGGATTTGAGGTTTCTTTGGCCGCAATTGAGCAGCCAAACTGTGAGCACTCCTAATAATTTGTAAAATTTTGTGTTTTCAATTTATTTAGATATTCTGTTTATATTTTCAGTTAAAAAAGAGTTTAGATTTTTTTTTTGTATTTTCAATTTGGAAATCCTTTTATCAAATGGCAAGTGTTGATATTTGGTATTTTTGTGTGGAAAATATAAGGCTTAATGTTGTCATTTAAAAAAAAATCAAATTAAATAGTTTTTGAATAAAAATAATAATGAAAAAGTTTTGATAATGCATGATTTTCTTATATGTATTTATTAGGGAAAATTAGTCTAAGGTCGTCCATCTCCCATTTTTAGTAATAGAAGAGATCCACAATATTATTTTATGATGTCTACGACCCCTCAACCCCACACCCATGTATCACAGAGAAATTTGATTTTCTCAAATCAAATTGGCCTCTCCCTCTCTTCCTCTCTTTGCTCTTCCTCTTTGTTAACGAAGAAAGCATTGAACTTGTCAATCTTCTCCTCTAACAGCCTATAGCGATCCCGATTTTTCCTTCCGTTGTATACTGTATTCTGGACTTGGTTCCATGGACTTGCTTTTGTATCATTATCACTTCTAGCCTTTCCTCTTTGTATTTGAATCTTGGGTTGTGATGGGCAGGTTTGAAACAGGTTGGTTGCACTTTGAAACCAAAAGGTGATGTCCAGATTTTGGCCTTCACGCTCGAGCAGAAGTTTTAACGCTCGAGCGGGCTCTTCGTTGTTGCGTATCCGCTCGAGCGGGAGTTTTGACGCTCGAGCGTGTTTTTCCATCTCCCAGTACTTTATTCTGCAGTCCCTCCGCTCGAGCGGAGAGTTTGGCGCTCGAACGGGTACCATCGCCTGCAAAACTTCTGGAAGTGTGCAATCGACGCTCGAGCGGATCTTTTCACGCTCAAGCGTGAGTTTGTGTCTGACGCTCGAGCGGTGATTTCCACGCTCGAGCGGGGAGTCCACTACATCAGTCCGAGATTTCACTTTTTGGATCACTTTTTGACCTACTTTTCTTTCTTAACTTTTAGAAAACCGCCCCTTGAGAGTCTCTCTCTCTTTCTCTCTCTCTAAACCTGCCTTCTCTCTAAAAGTTGATCTACCTAGGGTGAGTATCTAACCTTGGTCCTTTATTAAAAAGATAGAGTGAGTCAAGGGCTTTCATTCAATCTGAACGTTTGGTGGTTTGGAGCACTTTGGAATTTGGTTATTCATCTTCGTCTTCTCCATTCGGGTTATTTTCTTCGAGGTAGGGATTTCCTACTCCATTCTATAAGTTTTGTTCTAAGTTTTTGTATTTTGATATGTTGGGGATACTTTGGAAATTTTGGGGAAAACCCTAGTTGTATTAATTAATTAATTTGTATAATTAATTTAAGGGAATTGGGGAAATTGGTTAAATTCATGAAATTGGGAAATTTATTGATTAAATGGTGTAGTTGGATAATGTAAATCACTATTGAATTGTTGGTATATTTATTTCCAAGTCTAGAAATAACTGTGTTGGGCTATCGGTGGAGGATAGTCGTGCTTGTTGTAGACACTGCATGTGGAATAGGAATAACTGAAACTAATCATTGATTAAGTCATCAATTTTGACTGCTGAGTTAATACAGACATTATGTGTATTGATTGTGTGTTGTATATGATATGTGTTTGCATACATTGTTTTGTGTGGGAGGAGATAGGGGATGTACTCCACGGTTTAGGGGAAGATAGGGGATGGACCTCTAAACCGGATTTTGTTTGGGAGGAGATACGGGATGGACTCCATTAGCATCACTTTTATGTGTGCTTATTTATATTGAAGTGTTTTATTGATACAGCACTAAAATGTGTATCAAACTGGAAGTATGAAGTGTTTTGATTTGAGCCTGAGTCTCAATTGTTTGTTGACATTGGAAGAATGTGAATATGATATCTATATAGTTCACTGCTGTAAGTTTGGCCAGGTTCTGAGCCATATTGATAATGTTGGAAAGTAAAACGAGTTTTAGACATTAGTGTCATGAGACTGTTTGATGATGTAATTGATTATCTTGGTTAACCATTTATTAAATACTGATGCTTTATTCAATGCTTATATTTGGTTTAGTATATCTCTACTGGGCTGTGGCTCACCCTTTATGGGAACATCATTTTCAGGTCCAGGTGATAAGCTACCTCCCAGGACTTAGCTTGGAAGGATTTGGATTGCGAAGACTATCTTTAGTTGTTTGTTTTTATTTGATAAATAATCAAGCCTAGGGCTTTATTTGTATTTGAGTTAGAACTCATATTTTGTGTCCAAGTGTTGGCTTGGAAAGATGTAAGCCCATAGGGCATTTAATTTGATGTTACATGTAATGTTTTTATTTAGTAATACTCTAATGAATGAATTAATAAATTGTTTTCTTTAAATAATGCATGTCGATGATATACATATAATGGGTTTATTTTGAGGGTGTGACACAACCTCACAAAATCAATCACCTCCTTCGTCACAACCTTCTCTACTCTGTCGTCGTGCATTGTTTGTGTCTGTCACCATGATAGGGCACTCATACGCATCAATTTAAAAGACCGTGTAGGTGGCCACAAATGGTGAGTTGGTCCAGTTTGTCTTCACTCAGCCTCTTTGCGTTGCCCAATCTTATGCATTCCAAATCGAGTTGAACACTCATTGCTTGGTCCTTCGAGAATGGTATGCCTATGTGTTCCAAGTTTGAGTATTATCACTGCTTTTCAGACCCATATGAGAGAGAGAGAGAGAGAGAGAGAGAGAGAGATGAGAGAGAGGGACTTACACAACTTGGCATTAGTTCTAGAGAATGAAGTAGGAGAAGTCCTTGGTGGGATGGGACTAAAGGAATCAGTCTTGAGGGGATCAAAAAGAGTCCGTCGATTTGGTATCGGTTCAACATCTTCTTCTTCTTTCTCTGTCTCTCTCTCTCTCTCTCTATATATATATATATATATGCATAACTTGTATACATATTTTTCTTCCTATCTCTATGTTATATATACGATAGAGATAGCGATTTGTTAATCAGCTTTTCTCGATGTTGCCAATAAAGATCTACACCACTTTTTTATTCTTCAATTGTTATGGGTAAGTGAAATCAGAAACATAAAAATAGAGATTTCATCACAGAAGCAAATGTATGTATTTAATCTATTTGTAATTAAATGTATGTAAATGCCAATTGCAATGATCAAAATGGGTTTGGTGGTTGTGTCAACAATTGTTGCTATTGAAGGAGCTTGAATTGAATTGCAGTGGTTGTATTGAAATAGATTTAATGTGGGTTATAAAGGGATTTTCTCTGGTTCGATCAAAAATACAGAGAAAAATCTAATCCAGAGAAAATTCTCTCAACCACATTAACAAACAACATTGAACCCAATACCAAAACATCAGAGAAATTCTCCAATCTTTCCAGAATTTCTTTGGATCAGAATTTTGTCTGGATGTGGAAATTTTGTGAATTTTGTTTGGATTTCTGGTTTTGTATTACAGTTTTGCTGTGTGCCATTGTTGTTATTGAATGAGCTTGATTGAATTGCAATGGTTGTATTGAAATGGATTTAATGTGGGTTTTAAAGAGATTTTCTCGGGTTTGGTAAAAAATATAGAGAAAATTCTAATCCAGAGAAAATTCTCTCAACCACATTAACAAACAACATTAAACCTAGTACCAAAACATCAAATAAATTTTCAAGTCTTTCCAAAATTTCTCTGGATCAGAATATTCTCTGGATGTGGAAATTGTGTGAATTTTCTCTAGATTTCTGGTTTTGTATTACTGGTTTTGGATTTCTGGGTTTAGTTTTCTCTGTATTGTTAAATTTTCTTTGGTTTGAACTTAGAGAAATTTGATTTTTCTCTAGTTTGAACTCAGAGAAATTCTTTGGAAAGTCCGGAATTTCTCTAGAGAGAATTTCTCTGGGAAGAATTTCTTTGGATTGAAATTTCTCTAGATCAATGTTGAGGGACCTTAGACATTATAAAAATATTGAATGTACTTTATGCTATAAATTTTTAATATTAGGGACCTAAAAAAAATCCCTTGTTTTTAGCTAGGCTTGGGCAAATTTTATTTAAAAACAATTGTATAACATGTATTCATAACCAGTGAACACATA